AAAAAAAAAAAAAAAAATTCTCGCATCATTATAAAATGTAACGCTAAATTTAAAAAATATTTAAAAATACTTTAAACTTAAAATAAAAAAACTCATTAATATATTTAATTTTTTTTAAAGTTAAAATTATCGTTATTAACATCTCATAAACTACTTTTAAATATTTTAATATTATTTTGAAAAATTAAAAACATTTTTTTTAGATGTGTTACCAATTGTACGCTAATTAAGAATTATTCATTCCTATATTTATATAATAGTTATTAAAGACTTTTAAAATTTGAATATTTACCCAACCACTATTTGTTAAAGAAATTGACTGGAGGGTAAAAATGTAGTTTCATCAAAATCAAGCTATTTAAAACTATATTTTGAATAGAAAAATAATTAAAATATCGAATAAAACGTCGACGTATCCTAATGTAATTTTTTTTATTTATTTATCCAAATAAACATTTTTATATTTTGATAATAATTTTGAAATATTTATTAAAAAGATCATAAATGTTTAATATTAAGTATTTTAAAATAATAATAATAATAATAATAATGGAAATGATTTAGTTGGTGGGTATCGTTTTAAGTGACATTAAATATTATTTGGGACAGTGGGTGGGCCAGAAAACGAGTGCACGGAGGTCATGTCTTTAAATTGACATAGGTTTTTTCCACGAAATTTCCCACCACCTTTAATAAATTAAATTAAATTTATTTTCTCCTTCCATTTCATAATTACTTTTTAATTAATATTTTATTTTCTTACCAACTTCTCGTAAAGCCTTTAAAATGGTAGCACGAACACTTTTGAAGATAGTTCTAGATCTGGGTCAAGGCGAACTATTGTAGGGGATTTATTGAAACCATTGAATTCGGAATTTGGTAAAGTGGCTTCTGGGTGGGGAACTACACCTTTGATGGGTGTGACGATGGGTCTATTTGCAATTTATAATTCTTCCATTTTACTGGACGGAATTTCAAGCAATTAGATTGGATTCACAAGAGCCCTTAAATAACTTTTCAATAAAACGTGAAGTCTAAAGTAAGTAGGTTTCCGCTTCTTAGCCCACTCTTTTTTTTTTTGGTAAAATTCTTTTGAGATAAAAGAACTTTGAAAAACTATGAAGGGACGCTTGTTTGATTTTCTATGTCTTCCGCCCATGCCAACATATATATATAGAGGTAATTTGGGACATTCTCCGTTACAATTCACAAACCTATATTAATTTCGGCTGAACTACCTATGTACTATAGTATTGGTTACATATTTAATATAGCGTTCGTATCCACGTGGATATTTAAAAATGAAAATATTTGTAAGGATTGAAATAATTGGTTATAAAAGGTGATTAAGGATATTTATATGTAAATAAATAAATAAAATAAGATACGTTAAAGATATTATTTCGAAAGCAAGTGGCATAGAAATTTGGCCAATCTGATTGGTTGAAGAAAAAGAGAGGTTTTTTTATTTTTTTATTTTTATTTTTATTTTTAAATGTGTTGACCTAAAAAGTATCTTATCCAAAGTTTTAAATATCAATTTGAAATTTTGATTTATATGTTGATGTTTTTTAAATTCTACTATGAGAAATTCAATTTTTTTTAATTAAATATGACGAACTAATTCAAGGTGACAGATACAAACGTCTAGTGGAGTATGATTAATTATTAGTATACTTTCATTTGAAATCTGAGATTCGAATTTATGATGAGTATGAATAATTATGATCATGTTTGCATTTGATGAGAGAGATTAGAGCATCTAATCGAGTATGTCTAATTATAACTATGCTTACATTTGAGTTAGAAGATTCGAACATTTGATCGAGTATGGTCTATTTCTACTATGTTCTCATTCAAGACGAGAGATTCAAATTTTGATATCAAGTATGGCTGGTTATCACTGTTGGATGATGAAAGTCCCACATCGGCTAATTTAGGGAATGATCATGGGTTTACAATCAAGGAATACTCTCTCCATTGGTACGAGATCTTTTGGGAAGCCCAAAGCAAAGCCATGAGAGCTTATACTTAAAGTGGACAATATCATACTATTGTTGGGAGTTGTGTTTGTCTAACATAGTATCAGAGTCATACCCTAAACTTAGTTCGAGGAGAGGTGTTGGATAATTCGAAGGCATAGTAAAAATGCCTTTTGGGGAAGCCCAAAACAACATGTTTATGCTCAAAGTGGACAATATCATACCATTCTAGAGAGTCGTGTTCATCTAACAATGACTATGTCACTACTTTTAACTGTTATGTTGATGTTGTCTTCTCCTCTAATGGGTAGTGTAGTCATCTAAAAGGCTTAGGCCATGATTTTGGTCGAATACCTTCTTGAAAGTTAGAGAAGATTTGGATAATGCATTTCAATTCTTGGATCCAACAGGTTACAGAAGCCTTGAGAAAAGAAGGATTAGAATCGTCAAACCTTATAGTCGGAATTGATTTCACCAAAAGCAACGAGTGGACAGGTTAGTCGAATCACTCGAACTGTAAATCTAAATTCAAACTTCTCGTTCTTCGTAATCGATTGATACTGAAAAATTCGGCCGTCGCTTGTAACTGGCGCGCAGGTAAAGTCTCGTTCAATAATCGGAGCCTACACTCGGTCTCTGATTCTCCTAATCCCTATGAGAAGGCTCTATCGATCATCGGGAGAACTCTGGCTCCTTTCGACGACGACGGCCTGATTCCTTGCTTCGGTTTCGGCGACGGTATGATCCGCCGCGGCTTTCCGTCTATTTAGCTCCTCTTCGCATTATTTCTTCGCCGATTCATCGCCTTCTTGTCCATGTATCTTACAGCGACGACACACGATCAAGAGGTGTTCAGTTTTCACAACGATAATTCCCCGTGCCATGGATTTGAAGAAGTTCTGGACTGCTACAAAAGGATAATTCCGAACGTGCAACTTTCAGGTTAGTGCATGATTGTATAGATGAATTTTATCAATACTTTTGTTCATCGTGGTCGCTTCATGAATGTGATTTACAGGGCCAACATCTTACGCCTCCGTGGTTGAAGCAGCAATGAACATTGTGGAGAAGAGTAATGGCCAATTTCACATTCTTCTCATCGTTGCAGATGGACAGGTTGATTTTTCATACTTCTCTGCTTTTAATCTGTTTCTTTCACGGCAAAGTAAACGAATTCATTTTGTTGCAAAGGTTACTCGAGGCTCGAGTGTTGGCGATGCAGAGTTGAGTGTTCAAGAGGAGAAAACAATCAAAGCAATTGTAGATGCAAGGTAATGAAAGGGGGAAAACAAGTAAGCTTAGATTTAATGTACAGAGGTAGGTATGAATATGAACAGCTTAAGTGGGGAAAACAATGATTAGAGAACTAATAACGATTAAAAATGCTAATTAACTAATAGTTTAACATCCTTGCAAGTGAACTAGTGGATGAACAATAGTATGCTTGAAACGTAGTTCTTGGAAGCATAGAGTAGACAGGTCTTTAGTCATAAGAACTTTGTCTAACTTATAGGGTTACTTCGAGTGTGTATTGCACCTTTACCAATGGGAGTAATTTCTAATACTTCTCCATTGCCCAGATACATTTGTTCATTCCCTTTATATTTTTGAGTTGAAAACATCGTACCTCGATTGTTTACAACATGGGTCGTAGCTCCAGAGTCGGATATAGAATGGAGTCATTCTTTGTAATAGCCCAAGCCCACTGCTAGCCTCACGGTTTTAAAACACGTCTGCTAGGGAGAGGTTTCCACACTATTATAAAGAATGTTTCGTTCCTCTCTCCAGTCGATGTGGGTGTCTCGAAATCCACCCTCATTCGGGGCATAGCGTCCTTGCTGGCATACCGCTTGGTGCCTAGCTCTGATACCATTTCTAACAGCTCAAGCCCACCGTTAGTAGATATTGTTCCCTTTGGCCCGTTACATATCACCGTCAGCCTCACGGTTACAAAACGCGTTTATGAGGGAGAGGTTTCTGCACCATTTTTAAAGAATGTTTTGTTTCTCTCTCTAACCGATGTGGGGTCTCAAATTCCTATCTTCTAATGCCAAATTCCTATCTTCTAATGCCAAATCAATGAGAGCTTTCATCACGTTGATAAGTGTGATGAAATCTATTCCAACATTTCAGAGCAGTGTGACTAGCTTTACCACAAATTTGGTATGGACTAAACTTACTTTGATTGTTGGTTGAAGTGTTTCCATTGGATGGTTGAGGACTAAAGTTGCTTTTTGCAGCGTTTTTTAAGACGATTGACTTCGACTTGGCTAAAATCACCTTTCTCGTGACTAAAAATATCTCCCTCTTGCAGATTTTGAGCTTTTGTTTTGTTATTTTATTCAGTGCATATCCTCTTTCGATTATTCTTGTTGGAGTCGGAGACGGGCCTTGGGACGACATGAAGAAGTTCGACGACAAGATTCCAGCACGAGATTTTGATAATTTTCAGGTTTAATAACAATCCATGGATGACTTAAATCAGTTCAGTCAACTTCCATAGTGAAAATCAGCTATCATGGTCTCTGATCTTGCGTTTTCCTAACTATGTGCAGTTCGTTAACTTCACCGAGATCATGTCCAGAAACGTTGCGACGCCTGAAAAAGAAGCAGCTTTTGCTCTAGCTGCACTGATGGAGGTTCCTTTACAATATAAAGCCGTCAAAGAAATGGATCTTCTAGGGTATAGGGCACACTCTTTATTACCCCTTTCATTACTTGGAAGTTTTCAATTCAACTGTCTCTCTTGAGATGCTCTTGAGGTTGGTTGGAATGGAATGGCTTATTATTAACGGCTAACTCTGCTTGTTTTGATGTTGAACCAAGACACGTGACAGGAAAAGCGAAATTAGTTCGTCCACGACCCCCACCGACACGTTATACTCGTCCTGCACAACTTACTCCCAAACCCAGCAACACCGTCTCCGCTTCTGCATCTGATGATCGGAGCCAGGTATACCCCAGTGTGGAACTTAACTTATGGAACATTGCTTTTGCTTGCATATTGGCTCTGTATAATTTAAGGCTTTCACTCATAATACTCGTTCTTCCAAACTGTAGATGGATTAAGTATAGAATAATAACATTCTTTCCAACTCATATGCAGGTCTGCCCCATTTGCTTGACCGAGGGAAAGGATTTGGCCTTTGGATGCGGCCACATGGTAGAGAGATTTAACTATCTAATATCTATTGCAAGTTTCTGATTCATCGGGTCTTTCATTCAAACACATCTACTTAACATTCCAACATTGCAGACCTGTAGAGACTGCGGATCAAGATTATCCAATTGCCATATATGTCGCCAGCCTATCAGAAATCGCATAAGGCTGTACACCGGGTGATCATGGACTGCACCAAAGGCAACATGAGATACGATGTGCTTGAGGTCAACGACAACAGATGGATATGACATCCAGGAACAAGGATTACGACGCGATTAGGAATGTATGTTACAGATAGCTCGAAAATCTTCTAATATTTAGTCTAGGAATGTTCTACTTTCGGGTGTTGGAAGAATGTGGATGGGGCACTCCGATGAACAAACAATGTGCCCTTATGCATATGAGATATAAACAAGATTTCATATGCATAATTTTGCATGTAAGATCTGGACCGAATGTGAAGTTTAGTGAATCATTAGTCAAATTTTATGAAATTGCCATTAGCTTGACAGAGCTTGTCAATGAGTACGAGGACTAACTCCATAGTAACATAAAGCATTTGAATTAAACAAGGCCTCCGGATACAAAGTTCTTAAGCTTTAAGAGCCTGTCCTGCAAGGATAAACAAACCCTAAAACAGTAAGATTGCATTACAAAATCTAACCCACACGTACCCGTTTATTTATTTTCCTTCTTGACCTGTTGGTTCTTGTCAGCGACCTCGTTGCTTTGGTTTGGGGGGATTGGTTGGATTCTCACATATGGCTTCCTTGTCAATGTCTCTCCCCTCAAAGCAGCAACATAGCGATCGTTTGTGTCCTCTTTCCTCTGCAACTCGCCTAGATATTCTGCCAGTCTCTCTCGATTCACTCTCCCCATCATCTGAATTTCAATATCAAGTAACAAAACCACAAACATTGAGAAGCAAAATACCTGATGAACACAATTGTAACATGTAAGATTAAACTTACGACTGCAGACAGTTACAGTAACGGGACTCCCAAGCCCCCTATTAGCAAATATTGTCCTCTTTAGACTTTTCTTTTCGGGTTTTCTAAAACGCGTCTACTAGGAGGTTTACCCACTCTTATAAAGCTAGGAGGTTTACTCACTCTTATAAAGAATGTTTCGTTCTCCTACCCAACCGATGTGAGATCTCACATAAATTTAATACATATAAGTTCCAACAGCCCCACGAATTCAAAATATCTAACTCCGTTTGATAACCATTCGGTTCGTTGTTTTAGACTACCTCCACCTATGGATTCCTTGTTTTGTCATCCAAGTTTTGAATTCCAAAAAGGGAGTTCTAGGAATTTGGTTACGAATTCGGATAAAACTCATGGTAGAGAATTGATTTGATGTGAAAACAAGTTGAATTTCCAAAATTCAGAAACAAAAAATATTTACCAACAGGTTATAGTTTTACAAATGCAGCAATGATCAAAGTCTCAAAAGATGGAAGCAGTTAACGAAAATATAGTACGAAAATAGGTGTTGAAACACATGAAAGCAAAGCAACAGCCAGCAAATTCGATGCAGCTCAAATGACAAGGTGCAGAAGAGAATAACTGGTCAGAAGAAAGAAACTGAATGCTGTGTTCTTCGTATACTGAATGAGGCGTCATTTCAAATGACAAAACAGAATGCGGCATTTCGAATTGTTAACACCGACACCATGGAAATTAGAGGTCTGATCAAGGAAAACAGATTCAAACATAGCAGGCAACTCAAGAACAAAATTGAAAAAAGAAAAATCTTAGGTTTTCAATCGAATAATCAGGTAAGTCCATGGAATAAATAGATAATAATCATCACAGTAGAGCAGCAAGTCGAATTTTACGCGATCGCGGAGTCGCGAAATGTCCAACGGACAGAAATTTATCAATAAACTAAACTCAATCAGAGATATATGGATCAAGATTGCGATGATAATAGGGTTTTGGAGAGAGAAAGGACATACGAGAGATTCAGGTCTAGCATTCTGGCGGAGGCGGGCTTCGAGTTGCTCGTTGCGGGAATTGGTGGCCTGCATAACGCAGTAGCCAATAACGCCGGGAACGACGCCGCAGACGGTGGCGAAGGCCAAGAAGAAAGGCTTTGAATCTCTGGTTTTCCTCACTATCCATCTCCATGACTCGCTCTTCTCCCACAGAAACGACATTCTTCGCCCTCGTTTGTGAGAAATTTAATCCTACGGTTTGAATTTAGCTTTGTTTTGGCCTTAGATCTATAATTTCATAGATCAAAACAATTAACAACAGAAAAAGAAGACAATTTCAAGACAAAACTGTATGAAAAACGAAAAACAATGCCATTGGATTTCGGAGTTACTACGGACCTGCGAATTGACGAGTATACCAAATTTGTGAACAAACCCTAGCTTGAGATTGTATCATTAACAAAATCTAAATTAATTTAAACCCTAAAGTTGTTATATCTATTGAAGCTCATAAGCTTTCCTAGATGATCTTTTAAAGAAGTTTTAGTCCACTTTCACTTTGTTTCTATGGTTTTTATAGCGATACCGTCATCTGTACATAGATGCCTTACCTGTAAAAGAAGTAGACATGGCTTGAGTATTTAAAAATATTCAGTAAGTAACCTCACTGTGATAGTCGGAAAGTACAATCACGTGCAATCATGGTAAGGCCTGTATTTTCATACACTCATATTGCCGATTATTGACTCCCAATAGGGAGACCTCAGTCTAGCCAAAATTATAATTAGGAACTGTTGACGATTTGTCTAAATCTGTACCAAGGACAATTGTGTGTGTGAACTATTGAAGAGCAAGAGACTGAGACACTAATAGATGCTCACAACTATCTGGTTCGTGCATCTAAATAATACTAAAATGACTGGACTTGAGACTTGGTGCAATGAAGGACATAAATGATTTTTTTAAGTAAGTGCCTAATATGCCAACCGGTGAAGACACCAAGATAGAAAACAGTAGGGTTGTTGCGACCAAGTGTACTAGAACGGAAATTGAAGAACATGACTATGAATTTTATCATAGGTCTACCCGAGACAAATGGTATTTCTTATGTGGAGAGGCGACCTATATGGTGGATAATTGGACTCAATTAATTATACATCAAGAGAGATTGTTAGGTTGTATGGACCACCAGTGTCAATTGTGTTAGACCCAGACCCATGTTTTACGTCGCCCTTCTAGCGCAGCCTCCAAAAAGTATTGGGTGCTCGCCTCGACTTCAATACTGCATTCCACCCACATACAAATGGTTGAACTGAACGTTCAAACCAAATATTGGAAGACGTATTATATGCCTACATGTTGACTTTTGTGAGCAACTGAGATTCAGAGTTACACCTCGTGGAGCTTGCCTACTACAACAACTTCCAAGCAGCTATTGATACGACATTATTTGAAGACTTATACGAAAAGCAGTGCAAGTTTCTAATGTAGTGGAACAAGATAGATGAACGTGAGCTATTAGAACTAGAGTTGGTCCAAGTTACCAATGAAATCGTTCAAAAAAATCCAGGCTAAAATACATATAACTCAAAGTAGGCAGAAGAGTTACGCTGATGTGAGATATAGAAACTTGGAGTTTGGGGTAGGCGATAAGGTGATTTTCGTGTATGGTAAGTCGAGGTCAAGTTTCATTGGACCCTTCAACATTCTGGATTGAATTGAACAAGTGCATAACGTATTCCACATGTCCATACTCCACAAGTACTTGACGGACTCGCCCCACGTAATAGATTACAAACCTTTACAAATAAACGAGCCCGTTTATGTTTATAAAATATTATTAAATTTATAAAGATATTTTACATTAAAAAAATTATTTAAAATAAAATATTAAAAGAAAACTTATACGTGTCGGCCAGCCTCGAATCGTACATGAATATTTGATATGATGAACATTGTAGATTGAAGTTCACGTGACATCACAATCACACTTTGGTTGATAGATACGCGGATATTTAAATGTTAAAATTAAAATCAATTGGGATTTCACTACAAAAGCTTGAAATTATAATTCGTAAAATAAAACTCAACCAAAGGACTCTCGCTCTATCCAGAACTTGTCGCTGTTTCATGATGGTTTTATCTTTAATGTGTGGGACACACCTCTGAAAATAGCATATATGATCCGTTTGTTTCCAGGGAAAATTAGCCCAGAAAATTTCTTCTCAAACAATTTTTGCAAAAAAATGATGGGTGGTAATTTTTTCGGAATCCAAATTGGATAAAGGCCTGAATTAGAAGTGGCCTTGGCTTGTCCACTTCCACGCTCTCTCTCTCTTTTTGCATCTGTAGCTCTTCCGTTTTCCACGCTGAATATACTAAATTTTTGATGATACTGTTCCGATTTGGCGGCCATTGATGCGAAGCTTCATCGCCTTCTTCATTTGACGCCCATTTCGATTTCTCAAGCTCTTGCGATCTTGTTTGTTACTGAACTATCATTCTCTTTTATGTTCCGTTGTTTGGGTTTTTGTTGTTTTGATACCTAATTTATGGGGTTTTTGTGATTGATTGTGTTTAGGGTTTTTGAAGGGATTTGTTGTTGGTAAGCTATGGATTCTGCAATTCAGGCTTCGCCTTCTCCGGCTTCGTCTTCTGCATTTCGTAGTCCATGTCTCACTTCTGCTTCTCAGAACTGCAAATTTCCCTTGTAAGCTCATTTTAGTTTATCTGTGCCCGTGATTAGGGTCTGGATTGGGTGTTTTTGTTTGCATTTTGTGTGTTTATCTATCTGTTTTGTGAAATTTGAAGTTGTTTTACGCTTGGATTGACTTGTTATATAGTTTTGAAGTGGTTGTTTGCTGTGGAAGTTTGTTCTTAGTTGTCTTCCATGGTTATGTGAGCTTCAATAATGGTGCTAGTAGCTCCTTAGGGAGTTGTGGACTTATTTACTTCGTAGTTTGATATATTGCACATGTAATCTGGGGCTGTTGGAGTCGGCATTCCTGGTCTTTGATTGACATCAAAGGATTCTTTTATCACAGCCCTTAGATTCTGTAACAACCCAAGTCCACCGCTAACAGATATTGCCCTCTTTGGACTTTTCCCTTCGGGTTTCCCCTCAAGGTTTTTAAAACGCATCTGATAGGGAGAGATCCCAAATTAGTTGGAAAGGGGAACGAAATATTTCATATAAGGGTGTGGAAACCTCTCCCTAACAGATGCGTTTTAAAACCTTGAGGGGAAACCCAGAAGGGAAAGCACAAAGAGGACAATATCTGCTAGCGGTGAGCTTGGGCTGTTACAAATGGTATCAGAGCCAGACACTAAGCAGTGTGCCAGCGAGGAGCTGGACTTCCAAGGGGGGTGGATTGTGAGATCCCACATCGGTTGGAGAGGGAACGAAACATTTCTTATAAGAGTGTGGAAACCTCTCCCTAAAAGACGCATTTTAAAACCTTGAGGGGAAGCCTAGAAGGGAAAGCACAAAGAGGACAATATTTACTAGGCAGTGGGCTTGGGCTGTTACATCACCCATGGCGCATTAATGCCATATTGAACTAGTCAGATTCCGTCTATCCTACATCTCAACTGTAGGGCTTGTGACTCATCTTGGAAAGGACGAGCTTACACAAACAGGTTACAGGATAGCATCAGGGCAATGAAGTACTGTTGGACTGAGATCAAGTGTTGAGAGGTTCTTAGGGAAGGTGGTCGTTGGGTATTCATTGGTTTCAAAATTGTGTCTGGTGCCTTAAACCCACTTGATGTCGTTAGCTGCTACAGATGATGAAGTACTCCTCCAAGGAACCTCAAACCAATTTCAATGGCACTGAGTTAACCACAGATGGGTTTCTCATCAATTGTTCAGTACCTTTGGTTTGCTCACTGATTCAGAGCTCATTTAAAATGGTTTTGTAAAGTACAGAAACTTAACAAGTTCACGTCCTATTTTTTTTTGATATTTTGCTCTCTGTTCTCTTCAATGGTTTCTTGGCAGTTTATGTATTCTAACACATGATTAATGTATCGGCACGCACACTAATCTATCCATCCTTGTTTGATGTATTTTGATTGTTCAGCTTCCAAATGGTACAATACCGAGTTTCCTGTCTTATTATAAATTACATTTTACTTATTTTCTCGGTAGACTCGGCCTTTACATGAATGCTGTTTTAATATATAAGGGTTTTTCAATCATGTTTATACTTGAATTAATTTAGTATAACAGTGAGAATTTATATGTTCTTCCCTTCACAGGCCAACTTCCAGAGTATCAGCTTCCTCTAAAAGAATGCATCGTGGGTTCAGGCTCCATATGGATGCTTCTCCCAATTACAACATCTCCAAAAATCATGTAGTTTCCAAATACTCTTCAGAATGGCCTGAATCACAATCCATATTCTCTAAGCAATCACTCAACAAGTATTTTTCGCCTCTGAGAGCATTGGTTGCTTCAAACACTCAAGATATTCCTGCTACACCTTTAACTGGAGATGACAAGGTTGGAGTGCTGTTGCTTAATCTTGGAGGTCCAGAGACTCTTGATGATGTGCAGCCTTTCTTGTTTAACCTCTTTGCCGACCCGGTATCATACCCCAACAATCCATTTTTCTTTTAGTATGAAGTTTGAATTACTCAACTTCTTTGCGTCCTTATTGAGCTATGATGCTTTGGTCACATAATGCAATAAAAATTGTGAAACCTTATGTTTTTAATAGGATATAATACGATTGCCACGGTTGTTCCGGTTCCTCCAAAGACCGTTGGCACACTTTATTTCAGTTCTAAGATCGCCCAAGAGTAGAGAAGGCTATGCCTCAATTGGTGGCGGTTCTCCTCTGCGAAAGATTACCGATGCTCAGGCAAGAAAATCTTCTTCTTCTTCTTCTTCCACTTCTGTTATTTTTTTATTTATTTTTATTTATATGTGCATGGATGTCTGAGCATGTATGACACTGTTGTTGTTTAACCATGGAGATTGCAGAAAAACATTAGCAAAATACTGAGAACACCGTATGCATTTTCACCCACTCGTTCGGTGCATGGTTTGCGAGTGTATGTGATATGCATTGCTTGAAGAGACGTCTTTTTTTAATGCAAGATTTATTCTTTAGAGACCTGACATGAATGTGTTAAGCAGAAACTTATCATAAAGAGCATGCCTGCATATTAATTTTTCTTTTACTTTTATAATAGGTTAAAAAATCACTTTTGGTCCTGAACTTTGAAGTAATAATTTAGTCCGAAAACTTTTATCTGTAATGATTTAGTCTTTGTAGTTTCATTTTTTTTTTTGTAACAATTTAGTCATTGCCTAAGGACCTAATATGTTTATAAGTTACGAAGTTTAAATTGTTAAATAATAAAAATCAACTTTTAATTTTGTTTGAAACTTTTTATCCGGATTAAATTTATTACAAATTTGAAAGTATAAGAACTAAACTGTTACATAATAGAGTTTATGGAATAAATTGTACCAGTCCAAGCCCACCGTTAGTAGATATTGTTCTCTTTAGGCTTTTCCTTCAAGGGCTTCCCCTCAAGGTTTTAAAACGCCTCTGCTAGGGAGAGGTTTCCACACCCTTATAAGGAATGATCCATTCCCCTCTTCAACCAATGTGGGATCTCACATAAATTATTTTAAAATTTAAAGCATAGAGACTAAATTGTTAAAATCATAGTTCAGCGACTGACATATTACTTCTATGAAGATTTATGGACCAAAATTGTTTTTAACCTTTATAATTTCATGTTTGTCAACAGTAATCTTTGACGGAAGCAGTGCCCTTGTTTTGTGAATAGTATTCGTTTGATTGAAATAGTGCCTTCATTTGAATTTCTCAGTTTGAAATGACATAGGAATCCAAGTTAGATAAGCTGCTTGAAATTTATGAGAATTGTTTATAGCCAATACGTTCCAGAGAATCTAAGAAACTTGGGGTTAGTTATCAAAATTTTAGAGGATTAAGTGGCGTGGTGGTGCTTTTTCAATTGAATAGTTAGCATGCTTAATGATTGTTGAACTCTCAGTATATGGTAATATGCAGTTGAATATAACTTCAAAAAAAATTGGTTTTGCTTGTTAAATTTTTGTCATTGTCATCTGTATATCTTCTTTGGTCAGGCTGAAGAATTAAAGAAGGCCTTATGGCAAAAAGATGTTCCAGCTGAAGTGTATGTTGGTATGCGATACTGGCATCCGTTCACTGAAGAAGCAATCGAACAGGTATACGTTTCTTTCTATATTTATGAAATAAGATGTTGATTTTCGAATGTCATCTTGTTTCTACTGTTTCAATTGGGGCAAAACATGTTGCAGCACATTCAGTTGATATAATGTTGAAAGTATGTCTCTTGTTTCAAGAACAAACGGTCTTGCATTTATACATTGTATGAAAAACATCGAGTCTGAGACAAGCGACACTGTCATGATTGTACACTCATTGTATTCTTTTGTACAAACTTGTTTCTTTTTAATATTTAATTCTAACTTTATTAGCCTTGTAAGGCCCCACTCTGTTATAAGTGGAACAACCGCATCTTATGGAACTTACGAACTCCAAAATTTGGTACAAGAACAAAATTATGTATTTGGTTATTGAGGCTTCTTACAGATCTTTTTTTTGTTCTTCCTTGTAGATAAAAAAAGACAGGATAACAAAGCTTGTTGTTCTTCCTCTTTATCCCCAATTTTCAATATCCACCAGTGGTTCAAGCCTCCGGCTCTTGGAGGGCATCTTCCGGTAAAGACCATATTCATATAAAATTGTATCTTGGGTTGGTTTATATGAACAATAGGATTTTCTTGTTTGTCAGGGAGGACGAATACCTAGTTAACATGCAACATACGGTAATACCTTCCTGGTACCAGCGTGAAGGATATATAAAGGCCATGGCAGATTTGATTGAAAAGGAATTAAAAAGTTTCGACTTTCCCGAGCAGGTAATATATGTTTGCATGATCAAATGAATATTGTTCACAAGAAGCTGTGGATTATAGTCAAATGCTAATTAACCTTTCTAGTTCATAAGTGTTGGTATTCATACCTTGGCATCAAAGTGTAACTTAAACATGTACATAACAGGTAATGGTATTTTTTAGTGCACATGGAGTCCCCCTTGCTTACGTGGAAGAGGCTGGTGACCCGTATAAAGCAGAGATGGAGGAATGTGTGGATCTGATTATGGAGGAATTAGAAAAGAGAAGGATAACAAATAACTACACCCTTGCTTATCAGGTACGTGCCTTTTCAATGACTTCACATCAGGAGGGGGGGTTTGGGGGATAAGGTGGGGGAGGTTAACTTAGAAAAGAAAGAGTGAATTCAACTTGATTTTGTGTTTTGTTCTGGTATCTCATAATGCTTTTATCGCAATCGTGCATATTTCTTCTTGAAAGTCCTGTGCGTAAAACTTCTAGTAAGTTCTTTTCTAGAAAAAATTCATTTATTGATGTTTTTGCCTGATTGTTCTATACCCCTTTAGGACTACGTATGAAACTTGGTGAGGCAAATATTTTAATAGCTAATTTAGTGTCCCACCTTTAATGGAATAGACAGGCACTAAAAAATGTATGGTTTTAAGAGCTCATTGGCTCAGATTGGAGAAGGAAAAAGAGAGGAGAGATAAATATACCCTTTAGTATTATGTGTGCAGATTGGTGTGGTAAATATTTTATTAGCGCGTCTCTCTTTTCATGGAACATACAGACACTAAAAAAGATATAGTTTTCAGAACTTGTTGTCTTAGGATGGAGAAGGGAAAAAGTAAGGAGAGATAAATGGACAAATTGGTAACTTGGAGAAAGTCGAGTAGTCGGTTGGGTTGCATGTGCCATGGAGGGAAGAAGGGAGGGAGAAAGTCAATGAGCAGTGGGAGATGTGGATGAAAATAGATTCAGTTAAAGGACAAAGAAGGGGGGAAGTTAATAGGTGGAGAGAAGACAACATGTTAAAGAAGAGTGGAGGATGGGAGAAGGGATAAAATTCAATGAGAGAGAGTTAAGATTTGATTTGCAGTGTTAAACTTCTTAGCTTGTATGACATATAGTTGGCACAAAAAAATATCGTCAACAGAGAGATAGGCGGGGAAAATGGAGAGGTCGTTGTAGGACAAAGAACGGCTGATGGTAGAAGGGAAAAATTTGAGAAGTAGAGGGATGAAAGAGAGATAGGAAGACGATGAAAGAGTGGAATTTGACTAGTATACAAACAGCTCGATCCAATTTTCATTAGATGCTACCGAAAGCGGATGAATGGCCAGAAAAATTGAACAGCAGTCGGAGACTATACACATAATTGAAGACAACTTTTACCATTGAAGTCTCCAATTATATTGAACCCTTGAAGTTATTTTCATCCTTTAGCATGAACCTCTTCAAATAAGTACTAATCCTTTGCAGGGTTGCTTTTTCCTGAAATAAGGTAAGAGAGGACTGATGAATAGCGGCTATGATCCTGGCCGAGAGAAACCAAATCGCTAATAATAGATGGCATTATTTATCATAATCAAATTCAAACGTTTGAATGAAATTTCTTCTCATATCATTAATGGGAGGCACTAACTCATATTTATACATTTACGAGGAGAAGAATATCAACTAGTTAAATAAAACTAATTGAACTATTCGTATAACGGAAGGAACATAATTTATCCAACTGTAAAAACAATATACGCTATTATCCCCCTCGAACAAATGCCGGATAAGGCATGGGTTCCCAGGGAGCTTTTCCGTAACCTTTGGAATATTTGAGGGCGTGTCTCTGCTCCAGGCGCTTTATGCTCTTGTTAGTTTCGGTTAAAAGTTTTTCATATCCTATCAGAGGATAAAATCATTGTTTCAAGAGCGACAATGCGAATCTTTTAGTTCTGGCAGTTCGGCAAATATTTCGTGCTTCATTGTTCATCAAGTTACGACTAGTATGGTTTTTAATTGGAATACTTGACACAAATCTTTTCGTAATACATAGCAAATGTTCATCAATCTGGATTGGAGGACTTCTACTTTTTGTTCCTCCGTTTTAGGCTTCGGGATTTCTAATCCCCAAGGCCGTTAGGCTGTGTTCTTCCTCTTTTGATGAATATTCGATTTCCTTGTATTGTTTTTAGTGTACATTTTTGATGATCTGGTTTTTCTGACTTGTAATACAGAGTAGAGTTGGACCCGTGGAGTGGTTAAAACCTTATACGGATGACACAATAATAGAGCTTGGGCAAAAAGGAGTTAAAAGCTTGCTGGCTGTACCCATTAGGTATGTGCATTTGTACATTCAACGGATGACTTGATTAACCGTAATACAATAAACAGCAAAATTTAATGTTATGATTTGACATGTTACAGCTTCAATAAACGTTGGATGTTATTCTGTAGAATATATCATAACAAACAAATTATCGTACCGAGTATCTTGTACCATTCGTGAAAACACAAATTCCTTTGTCGTGTTAATCATTTGACACATAATTATTTAAGCATCTGAATGAGTAAAGCTCAACATATAGCGAGAAACAGTAAGTTATTTTTTTTTTTACTTTTGTAAACAGTGAACCAGTGAGTTATTTTTGCTATTTTGTAAACTGGGTTGATGACATTCTTCATATAGTGGCTGCATGCAGATTATCTAGTTTAAAAATCGAATCACATTCGGTTAATTAAAATTTTATGCTATGCTTGATTTGCAGCTTTGTAAGCGAGCATATCGAGACGTTGGAAGAAATTGATGTGGAATATAAAGAACTTGCTTTAAAATCTGGAGTAGAAAAATGGGGACGTGTTCCAGCGTTAGGATGTGAGCCTACTTTCATAACAGATTTGGCTGATGCTGTAATTGAGAGTCTTCCATATGTCGGGGCCATGGCTGTCTCGAATCTTGAAGCTCGCCAGGTACTACAACCAAGAATATGCATGCAGCAATTTGCTTTATTTTTTACTTAATTATGAGAAACCATCATAATGAAAAAACAAAGAAAGAAGGGCCAACAAAAAGAAAGGGCTAAAAGCCAAATGAGGGATCACAAAAAACTTTCAAAAGAGAGCCTCGGGGACAACTACAAAATCATAATGAAAGCCTGGCTTCTTTATTCAGTAAATGATTTAAAATATCAAAATTAATGCTTATCCTCCATCATATTAGTTAGTTTCGTAACTGTATTTGTTTTTAACTTCACGAGCAGTGAAGATGTTGCACTCGTGTTATGCAATTAGGTATTATAGAAGCTGTTGAATTGAAACATGAATAAAAGTGGAACAGCTCAAGCTCAAGCCCATCGCTAGCAGATATTTTCTTTAGGCTTTTCCTTTTGATCTTCCCCTAAAGGTTTTTAAAACGCATTTGCTAGGGAGAGGTTTCCACACCCTTATAAAGAATGTTTCGTTCCCCTCTTCAACCAATGTGGGATCTCACAATTCACCCCCCTTTGAGGCCGAGCGTCCTCGTTGGCACACCACCCGGTGTTTGGCTCTGATATCATTTGTAACAGCCCAAGGTCACCGCTAGCAGATATTATCTTCTTCGGGCTTTCTCTTTTGGGTTTCCCCTCAAAATTTTAAAATGTGTCCATTAGGGAGAAATATCCACATCCTTACAAGGAATGCTTTGTTTATCATTTTGAATATATTCGAACATTTTATTTACCGATCTCTGCTTCTCTCCTTTTCAGCCCTTGGTTCCACTTGGTAGTGTGGAAGAGTTACTAGCAGCATATGATTCGCAACGTAGGCAGCTACCGCCACCTGTAACCGTATGGGAATGGGGTTGGACGAAAAGTGCGGAAACATGGAATGGAAGAGCAGCAATGCTGGCTGTACTTGTCTTGCTGGTCCTAGAAGTCACAACTGGAGAGGGGTTTCTTCACCAATGGGGAGTTTTCCCCTTATTTCATCAATGATCTCTCTCTCCCTCCACAATTGGTAGGATCTGTATATTTATTTTGTTAAAATGTTTCGAAGCTATTGGCATCTTCATCCACATAGAAAGTCCTAGAGGGACTTAAGTTGGGTAGTAGTCCTTTTTATCTCAGTTTGGACTGGAATTTTGATAGCACGTAGTATAAGATGGCATACTACCCTGTGAGCAAAATAATAGTAACTATTTCCCTTCCCCTGTTTGTCTATCTTATTAAATACACACAGTTATCAATTGTATTAATACATGTTTCTTATAACTTAATTTCTTTTCAATTATAGCACTTGGCCAACGTGGTAGCAATTTCTCTACTAAAACGCCGACAGCTGGTCGTCTGAAAATTCGATCTCTCAGTAAGTGTGTTTTTCCTGACAAATTACTGTGCCCTTTTTGGTTATGACATTGATTTTTGTTGGAAGGATAAGTTAAATGATGGGGTATTAGAGTACTCCATTGACTGCTTGAATTAGGATATCTCGATATCTCGAAACTGCTAAATGATACGTTAGTGTAGCTCATTTCCCACCATGACTGCCCCTTTTTATCTCCTCTTTTTCAGTTGTTAGTTTCAAATGATTAAAATGAATATGCTTTAGAAAAGAAAATGGAAAAAGAACACTCTGTTGAGCTTGAATTAGTGACTGTTAGAAGATGGGCCAGACATTTATCCACAACTTAGTTTGTTGTCCTAAAAATAGTCTGAAACCGACACTTTTTGACCAATCTCTCATAAAACACAGAGTAATGAGCTTTTTTAGAGTGAACTTGTTGAACTAGCCTTGCACTTTGTATCCTAAATCGATCATATGAAAGAAAAATAAAAGGAAAGAAAAGAAAAGAAAGAAGAAGAAGAAGAAGAAGAAAAAGAAAAGGGAAAGGTATCATCGGCAAGCCCCACATATTGGCCCCATGAACAGTGAGGACTCACATGAAAGCTACAACTAAAAACTAAGACGACTTAAAAAAAACAAAGAAACGATGCTAAAATAAAGGAAGAATCAGAACATTTGTCTTTTGTGTAGGCAAGCACATTAACATCATTAAATCGGATCAGCTGATGGAAAATCTCAGCATCCTCCTTCCCCAACTCACTCCTTCATCCTAAGCCTTACCCTCTCTCTCCTTTGCTTTTTACTTTCCCTTTGTTTATTTATTTTTACTTCACATTTTCTGAAAGGTTGCATCACTTTAGAACACTCCATTCATTATAACATCTCTCTCTCTCAATCAATATTGAATGGGTTGGGTTGTTAAATACACCCATAGTCCAAGTCCACTACTAGTAGATATTCTCTGCTTTGACTCGTTACGTAACACAATTAGCCTCATGGTTTTAAAATGTGTCTGCTATGGAGAAGGTCTAGCCTTTCTCTGACCTTGCATTGTCTGGTGACTGACTCTAATACCATTTGTAACAGCTGACACTCACTGTTAACAAATATTGTCAGTTTTAGTCCGTTATGTATCGCATCAGCCTCACGGTTTTAAAACGTAGCTATTAGGAAAAAGTTTTCACACCTTTGTAAGCAATGCTTCGTTATCCTTTTGTAATAGCTCAAGCCCGCCGCTAGTAGATATTGTCCGCTTTAGTTTGTTACGTATTGCTGTCAGCCTCACAGTTTTAAAACGTGTCTGGCTTATGGTGATACGTAATGGGCCAAAGCGAATAAGATATGTTAGCAGTGGGCTTGAGTTGTTACAAATGGTATTAGAGTCGGACACTGAGCGATATGCCAGCAAGGACGCTGGATCCCTAATGGGGGTGGATTGTGAGATCCCACATCGGTTGGAGAGGGGAATGAAATATTTCTTATAAGAGTGTGAAAACCGTTTAAGGTTTGTGACAAATGTTGAGAATTGTTGGGAGAGGAGTTCTATATCGACTAATTAAGAGGTTGATCATGAGTTTATAAGTAAGGAATACATCTTCATTGGTACGAAACCTTTTGGAGAAACAAAAAACAAAGTCATGAGAGCATATGTTCAAATTGGACAGTATCATACTACTGTAAAAAGTCGTGATTTCTAACTACAAATATGTCTCAAAACTTCAAAAAGTTTCTAATAGATTGCTATAAACTTTTTGTTTTTAGAAATAATAAATTTTTAAGCTATTAATTTCATTAAATTTAAAAGCATTAAAAATATTGAGATCTATTAAAAATAAAAACTAAAAGTTCAGGGACTCATTAAACACGAATATTAAAGTTTCGACACTTGCTATAAGATTTTTGACTTTTCCAATGCTGAAAAGCATCGAGAGAAGCTAAAAACGTGTCAAGAAAATCGACGTAGATTTGATGTGCTATTAGCATTCTTGTATTTTAACCTTAAACAAGAGGCTCTCGTGCTAGATCTTCGTTTAGATTTGATGCCACTGCCATTTTCTTCTCATCCCAAAATAATTATCGACATGTTAGAAACCGATAATGATATCGACCCAACATGTTTACCCAACAACATAAACAGTAGATGGGAACATAATCATCTTATATTCAGCTAAGATTAAGTGAACTTTCAAGACAAGAACTCAAATGTTAGAAGAACAATCTTGACTTCCTTGACTAGCAGCACACATCATCACATGTTTCTACACATGAATATGTGTCTTATTAGTTTAGATTAAAGAGAGATGACATTAAAATAACATAAAAAAAACCCCATCTTTTATACACATCTTATTCACTCACATTAACAGGCAAACTTTGTCACAGACACACACGTTCTTCGAGAACGAGTCAACATTTGTTCTGATATCTATGTAGATTAAAGGAAAATTTTCGAGTACTCCCTTAGTTCACTCTATAAATTTCTTACTTTATTACATGAAACTATATCGTTCTTAAATGATGTTGACGTGGATAACATAAAATTTTCCAGTATTCAAAGATGAGTTTGGAATCTCTTTTAAAACTTGGCTGATATCATCCTTTCATCAGATGAGGGTATCAATTCAGGTTCACTCGACCAAAACACAAGCCAAGGCAAAGCTTATGAAAGGAATAAAAGGGTATCAATTCAGGTTCTCTCTCTCTCTATCTCTCTCTATCTCTCTCTTCTTTCTGTATATCAAATAATTGGTTTTGCTGAAGTGAGTGTATGATGATGCTTTTGAGGTGTAAAAACTATAAAGTGGTATAACTAAAGGTAGTAACTTGTAGTTGAATATACTGTTTTTCTCTATCTACCTGTATTTGTAGAGCATCACTTTATGCCTAAATTAATGCCTATGCTTCTCATTCACTGATTCTCTTTCATAGTTTTAAACATTTATCTTGTGTTCTTCCTTTTCTTTTACATAAAAAGATTGAAAAACAAATGATTTGAACCATATAGATGATAATTTGATGGTTGAAAACCCTTGGTTTTAGTTTCTTTACTTTCAAATGTTTGAATTTAGTCCTGTACTTTCAATGAATCTTAAGATTAGTCCTCATCGTTACCTTGAAGTTCATTTGATCTGGGAAGATAAGAGGATAATAACAATTTCCATAAACTAATGGTAAGAACGAGGACTAAACCTCGACATTTGAAAGTAGAAATTCTAAAGTAGTTTTAGAAGAACGTTGTGTATTTCGTAGTCAATTACCCAATAATATCATTAAAACTCTGAGAAGAAAGTCTTTTCAAGGATTCATGATATCATTTTAGGACGATCAACCATGTTTTTCACGATGGATTGAAGAAGCCCATTTTTCAAGAGGAAATTTTGAGAGACCCTTTAGTGCAAATGTGATAAGAGTTCCAAGAAGCCTTCCTTTTTTGGGTATGTATTAGTTCCTCTTCTTATTCATTATTGTACTGTACTTATATTCAAACACAGAGCCACCAAAAAGTGCAGTAGCTTGGACTTGGACTTAGAAAGCACGCGTAACAGTGTTCTTCATCTTGTTCTTCCTGTTCTTGTTTGTGTTCTTCTCCTTGTTCTTCCTGTTCTTGTTCTTGTTGTTAGAGAGAGAGAGAAAGAGAAACCAGTCAAAGATTGTGCGCAGTAATGATTAAAGTGGGGGAGTGGATCTTTGTCGAAATGAAAATGATATTTTAAGGAAAGGAAAGGAAAGTTAAAGTGGAGGGTGAGGCATTAAATAATGGGAGAGAAAAAGAAAAAGGGGGGGAAAGCAAAGAAAGCTAAGCATAAGGGTAAGGAAGGGATAGGAAGGGCTTTGGTTTCTGTTTTTGTTTTGGATTGCAAAAGAAAAGAACAAAAAAAAAAAAAAAAAAA